AAAAAAAAAAAAGAGAAGAAAAAAAAATTAAAAGTTAGATACTTTTTTTTGAGACAGGGCCTCACTCTTTGTCACCCAGGCTGGAGTACACTGACATGATCATGGTTCCCCGCAGCCTTGACCTCCCTGGACTCAGGTAATCCTCCCACCTCAGCCTCTCAAGCAGCTGAGACTACAGGTGCATGCCACCACACCCGGTTAATTTTTCTATTTTTTGTAGAGAGGAGGTCTTGCCATGTTGCCCAAGCTGGTCTTGAACTCCTGGGTGCAAGCAATCCACCAACCTCAGCCTCAAAACATGCTAGGGTTACAGGTGTGAGCCACCATACTGGGCTGAGCAAGTTTTTAAAAGACAAAAAAAAATCTGTGTATGGGTGCTTTCTTCCATAATAGCCTTCCCTCCTTTCTTCCTTCCTCCTAGCCACCTACCAAGTAGTCATCCATCCACTTATTTTTTTATTTTATTTTTATTTTTTTGCCCCTTGGAGCAGAAAACTGGCCAGGAGTAAGGGGTGAGGGAGGAGAATAAATAAAGGCAGTATATGTGTTTGTCAGAGGAATAGAACCAGTGGTACATCAAGAATGCTCACAAAAGTCCCACCTGAGTCAAGTTCGAGGACTTACAGGTGTGAAAAGCCATCACCTTGACAATTCAGCTCTCATTAAGGAGTCTATTGCTTGTGTAAGGAGGGAAACTGGTAAGTGGGGAGTAAAAGCTTGATGGGACTTCAAAGCAAATACGGCTTGAAGAGAACTCTTGTGACTATCAATTGATACTGGCAGGGCCTTTTGAAGATGCATTTTTAAAAATTCATCATCAAGAAAACCACCCAAAGTTATTTAAAATAAAACTCTGAGGAACAGTTAACATTTCATTCCACAGAATGGGGTGTTTCCACAGCACATTTCAGCCAAGTCGGCAAGCTGCTAGCCCCATCAAAACACTGGACCCCGGTTTCTACTTGAGTTAGCTCTAGGTTCTACCTTATCATCCAGCTCTGCGACGGAAGAACAAAGGTCCACCAGGTTGGGCTGCAGGTGTCCGTTTACAATTTTCTCATTATAGATATAAATCTGAAATGATAAAAAGCAAAGTAAATGGCACAGTATCTACTTTCTCTTTTTAAAACCCCCTGAAGCAGGCAATGGCCGGCAGAAACTTCAGCCAACCTTTCCTTCCTTGGAGTCGCTGAGCCATGCACACTGGCCAGCTCCCCAGTTGTGCTGGGGCTGTGGATAACACACTAAAGCTAACTGCCACCCCCGCTTCCAAACACCTGAGGAATGGGAGCAGCGGGGTCCAGGGGGAGAAGAACCACAGGCAGGTCTATGCCTCTCTGTCCTAGTGAGGAAGCACCCGGGGAAGACAGGAGAATGGAAGGGGTCTGGCTGCTGCTTCCTAATAACCAAGGCAAAGGACTCAATTCTTTCAAAATGACGGAATGGCCCTGGTATAGGATTCATGGATGGAGTGAGGAATGTTGGGCACTGCCTCCCTCCACAAGTGTTAGAATAGCAGGAGAGGCACATGTGGAATATCCATTTCTCCTGGAAAGAATCTCTGTTCTTCAGGTAAGATTTTCTTAAGGAAAATGAACTATGTGATATTTAAGCTATGGGAAAACCACTCTTACTTTGGATTTTATTTTCAAGGAGCTAAAATGATGATAGTAGAAATCGTAAATTCACTCTTTCAGATTTAGAACTAGTTAAGTCCTACTACGGAAGTGAAACAGGACTTAACTAGTTAAGATTTAGAACTGTAAGCTCTAAATCTTAACTAGTTAAGTTCTAAATCTTCTTGTGGAAGATTCCACTTTGTATATGAAGTCTTTGCTCTCCCAAAGTAGTGATGTTAGACAAATCACGACTCTGCTGAACTGTAGTTTCCTCTACGTTAAATGGGGAACATCAGTATCATTCATCTTCCAGGGCTGTTATGAAGATTAAATGGTTTTGCTGGGCGCAGTGGCTCACGCCTGTAATCCCAGCACTTTGGGAGGCCGAGGCGTGTTGTGGGAAGTCAGGGACTCTGAATGGAGGGACCAGCTGAAGCCGCGGCAGAAGAACATAAATTGTGAAGATTTCATGGACATTTATTAGTTCCCCAAATTAATACTTTTATAATTTCCTATGCCTGTCTTTAATCTCTTAATCCCGTCATCTTCTTCGTAAACTGAGGAGGATGAATGTCGCCTCAGGACCCTGTGATTGCGTTAACTGCACACAAATTGTGTGCAGAGCATATGTGTTTGAACAATATGAAATCTGGGCATCTTGAAAATAGAACAGGATAACAGCGATGTTCAGGGAACAAGAGAGGTAACTTTGAACTGGCCGCTGGTGAGCCAGACAGAACAGAGCTACATTTCTCCTCTTTCAAAAGCAAATAGGAAAAATATCGTTGAATTCTTTTTCTCAGCAGGGAGCATCCCTGAGAAAGAGAATGCGCCCTGAAGGTAGGCTTACAGACGGCCCCTTTAAGGTGTGCCGTCTTTTATGGTCGAAGCCAAAGGGATGAAATAAGCCCCGGTCTCCTGTAGAGCTCCCAGGCATATTAGGACAAGGAAATTCCCACCTAATAAATTTTGGTCAGACAGGTTGTCTGCTCTCACACCCTATTTCCTGATAAGATGTTATCAACGACAATGCGTGCCCGAAACTTCATTAGCAATTTTAATTTTGCCTCATCCAGTGGTCCTGTGATCTCGCCCTGCCTCCATTTGCCTTGTGATATTTTATTATCTTGTGAAGCATGTGATCTCTGTGACCCACACCCTATTTGTGCACTCCCTCCCCTTTTGAAAATCGCTAATAAAAACTTGTTGGTTTTATGGCTTGGGGAACATCACAGATCCTGCCGACATGTGATGTCTCGCCCAGACACCCAGCTTTAAATTTCTCTCTCTTGTGCTCTTTCCCTTTATTTCTCAAACCAGCCGAGACACTTAAGAAACAGAAAAGAACCCACGTAAATATCGGGAGCGGGTTCTCCCGATAGAGGCGGGTGGATCATCTGAGGTCAGGAGCTCAAGACCAGCGTGGCCAACATGGTGAAACCCCGGTATGTACTAAAAATACAAAAATTAGCCAGGTGTAGTGGTGCATGCCTGTAATCCCAGCTACTTGGGAGGCTGAGACAGAAGAATCGCTTGAATCTGGGAGGCAGAGGCGGAGGCTTCAGTGAGCTGAGATCGCACCACTGCACTCCACCCTGGGTGAAAGAGCAAGACTCCGTCTCAAGCACCCAACCAACCAATCAATAAAATGGTTTTAAACCATGATGTAGTACTTATTCACTCAGTGAGCATTTCTTACAGGTCTTCCTTTGCAAAGTACTGTTCAACATGGGATATAAAGCTTCATCTTCAGTGGAGAGGACAGCCGTGTAAACAGACACAATATTTCGGTGTTGTATGTGCTATGAAATGTTAATGACATCTTTAGTCCTTGCAGGTGTAGAAGACACAGTCTCTCTCTTCAGAAGCCGGTAATTCATCAGGACTCTCTCCATGGCAATAGAGGAGTCAGCCATACAATGAAGGTGACGAGTAAAGGATGCAGATGCACAGGGGGAATAAAAAGAGAGAGGTATAAAATTGGAGCAGGAGGAAATAAATGAAGGCCAGTGGCAAAACATGAGGGGGTTGGAAGGAGGGGATCTCATGTGTGGGAAGTTGATGAAGCTGGGGGCTTCAGCTGTCTGGAGTTTGAAGTGGCAATGGCACCCCAAAGAAGAGAGATTTTTAAAAAGATATTTAGAAAATTTCTCTCAAGAAAGGGTAAAAGAGGGACTTCCGATAATACCATCAGCTAACCAGGTAACTCAATTCATGTGGAACTCCACTGACTAAATAACTGGCAGTTGAAGAGAGGGACCTTGGTAAAAGAGCACAGGGTCTAACAGTTTCTCACTGCCTCCTGCTCACCTCCATAGGTGCTCTGTTTTTGCCTCCAACCACCCTACTCCAGGCTGGAGGAGGATGAGGTGGGTAATGTTGAGGGCCATAAGTGGGACCCCCGGGTCCCCCTCAAAGAATCCAGGAGGTGATAATGGCTGAGCAGATATTCCTGGACCACTGCTGGTGGAGGATAATCTTAAGGGGATGAAGGCCCACTGCCCTCAATTCAAGAAACAGGAATATTTTTCCTTCTTTGTACTTTGTGGGGAAAAGCAGCAAATTACAATAAAGCACAAAGTCAGCTGGCACTGCTTTATTTAAAAAGTCAGTTCCAGGTTATGTATGGTCCTCAGGGTGGTTTCAGTCCAACAGAATTCCTGTGCTTACCACAAAGCATCTCAATCCATATCCATATTATTGGACGGTCCTCATCTACAACCAGAAGGATGACCCCTAAAATATTATGAGCTTTTCTAGGACAACAGTGGTATTAAGTAGTGAATACACTATGCTTATCAAGACAGAAAAGCATTTAGAAAATTTCTCTCGACAAAGAGTGAAAAAAGGATTTGTTCATACCACCAGCTTACCAGGTAAGTCAGTTAATACAGAACTCCATTTGCTAAGCAGCGCAGTTACCTGAAGCTTTACTGTACATGGGACTGTTGCCAAAAATGCATACTGAGATGCTGTGGTCAGTGTAAAGGACAGATTTCAATTTCCTCAAATCAAATGTGAGTAATTCTATTACCCTATTTGATAGAATTCTCCAGTGGCCTATGGTAAAATATTAACTAGTCCTCTAAATGAAAAAATACAACTTGCTTTCAGGGTTTGACTTTTACAAGTTTTTGTTCCCTTTTATTCCCTAGAGGTTCACAAAGGAATTTCCTGGCTTAATCTCCCTTGAGAGCACACTCACCTGCCGCGCATAGGCCATCTCAATGCTATCCAGAGAGCTTCGACCAGGGGGTCCCACGTCACTGATGTAGCTTGGCTGTGGATAAATACATATTCAGAATCAGTTAGGGACAGTATTCAGCCATGTGAAGAAATAAAATCACATAAACATATTCTTGTCTTTGACAGAGCTGTCGAGAGTCTGTTTCCTAGTTAAGACTTCCTCAAAATGATGATTTTAGGGATTTCAGTAACATGCAACTTTTACTGTGAACACATGAGAAGAGAGCAGGCATGGGACTGGATTAATTAAAAAAGAGTGAGGGGCTGGATAAACCCTATCGATATCTCAATGACTGTTTCTGGAAATGTACATCTTTCCAACATTCTGTTTCAATCTCAAGCTTCCCCTTGTCTTCACACTAGTGAGGCCATTGTTTTTATCAGTGGGCCTCTTTTTCATCAATCGTATCAAGCAGTTGAGGGAAAGCAGTTTAGAGAGTCAAACATCTGATTCAGACATTTCCACACTAGAGTCCACAGTAAGACAACAGTTGCTGATTACTTTTCTGTTATCTGAAGATGTGAGACCAGTGCAAGTTGGACCTTCATTCAGTTAATATTTGCTAAGTGTCTGCCACATGCACAGCTGTGTGTATATCCATCTCCATAAGAACAAAAACAAGCCAGCCTGCAAAGCCTGTCCCCAAAGAGCTTACAATCTGAAGAGGAGAGTCAGATAAAAATACAGTCATATATTACTTAACAATGAGGACAGGTTCTGAGAAATGCATCATTAGGAGATTTCGTCATTGTGTGGACTTCATAAAGTATACTTACACATACCAGATGGTTTAGCCCACTCCACACCTACGCTGTATGCATAGCTTATTGCTCCTAGGCTACATACCTGTACAACCTATTACTATACTGGATACTGTAGGTAACTGTAACACAATGGTAAGTATGTATATATTTAACCACAATTAAATATAGAAAAGGCACATAAAAATATGATATAAACTTATGAAGCCAGCCACCATCACACATGCAGTGCATGACTGTGTATGAAAAAAGTTTCAGTCTTTTTTAAGAAAGAATATTCATCTTTAGTTAAGTTTATTCGTTCTGTAAAGAAATACAGATCAAAATTAGGTAAATTCTTAAGTTCCCACTGATTAGTTTGTACTGTAGCATAGCAGAGATCAAATTCTTTAAGCTTATCTCATTTATTTAAAAAAGCTGAATGTTCTATACACTAAAATCTAAAATAAATCAGTTTAAACTAGGCTTTCTGTGAAACCAATGGGGATGATAACAGCCAAGCTTCCCAGCACTATGAAGCTGGTAAAAGGAAGAGTACAGTGGGCATGCACCAGGAGTCGGGAAGAAAGGGAAGGGGAGTTATCAGAAAGGCAGTATGAAGCCCTTGGTTCTGGAGAATGAACACTGGACTGTCAAGGATGCCTGGGTTCTAGGAGGGCCACTTCACTCCCTGGCTTTGGGTTCTGGAGCAAAGCACCTCCTCAGATTCCCATTAGTCAAATGAAGGGGCTATCCTAGATGATCTTGAGAAGTCCCCTCAGTTCTGATCTCCAACTATCACTGGTATTAAAAGAGCTTAAACAGTTCGCTGATCTTGGTAGATGCTGCTGGCTGGCCCAGTGACCATTCTCAATTCCTACTTCTCACATCTTTACCTTCTGCCACCTTTCAAGCTGGCATTTAGAGTTATTAGGTTGGTGCAAAAGTGATTGCGGGTTTTGCCATTACTTTCAATGGCAATCACTTTTGCACCAACCTAATAAATGTACCCAATAGTGTGCTGGTAAATGTTTTTTAACAGCCAGCTCGTGGGAAAAGGGACAATGGCTAGTATTTGCTGGTGTCTGTGGTTTAAATTCTCCCACCATGGCAGATTTCAAGCTATTCAAGGCGATATCAACTAGATTGCAAATTCCTTGAAAATTTAACAATAGGTCCTCACGTGCTGATCCCTATAAACCATTGAATATATCCTTTTCCAGAATCTACTACAGCAAGGAATGGCACACCCTAGTTCTAGCCAATAAGATGAAAACACAAGCCTGCTAGTATACCTGGGGACAGCTTCTGCTTTTATTGATTGGAGGGTTGAGGTGGGGGGACTGTCATGACTTTTCAGCTCTCTCCCCTTCTTTCTGCCTTGAATGCAAATATAATGTCTAGAGCTCCTACAGCCATCTTGTGAACCTAAAGTAGGTGGATGTGCTAGAGAGGGTAGTGTATCAGGACAGAAAGGTGTTGGGTCCCTGATGGCATTGCAGAACAACTGGATTAACATCAACACTCTCCACACCTGCAGACATCTTGGTAGGTGAGAAATATACACCCCTATTCAAGCTACTAAACCTCAAAGTTTCCACTACTCACAGCTGAAAGCATTCCTACCTGAAACACAGATTTAATTTAAACACCACTGGGTTACAATAATAACAATAGCTATTAATGAGCACTTACTATGTGCCAAGCACTGTTTGAATTTCCATGTTATTAACTCCACAACCCTATGTAGTAGGTACTTTTATTTATTTATCCATCTTACAGGTGAAGACACAAAGGCACACAGAGAGGTGAAGCAATTTGCCCAAGTTCACTTCAGTAGGAAGCAGCGGCTTGAATCCACAGTCTGGCACCACACTCTGTACTCTTTGCCACTGCTCTATCCTGCCTGCCAGGGCAGCCCAGGGTAACTCTCCAAGAACAGTTATCAGAGAACAGGAGAGGAGGGAAGACAAGGGAGGAGGGAGGAGAAGGAGGAGGAGTAAGAAATCCTGGATCCACTACTTATAACAATGTGATCTGGAGCATATTGCTCCCTTTAAGCCTCAGTTTCCTTAGGTGTAAAGTGGGGGGTGGTAATGGTATCCACCACATAGCATTGGGATGAAGGTTAAATGGGGACAAAAATAGTATGAATCCCTACCTCACAGCACTGTTGTGAGGAATAAGTGGAAGACCTCAACACAGTGCCCAACATATGGTCAATAAATGCTAGCTGTTATCACTTTATAAACAAAAAGAAACCACCACAACGAACACAGGAGCAAATCCTATGCTCAACAACAATGGACAGATATGGACACCTCAGAAATATGACCTAAAGTATTTTACTTTGTATAGGCTGAAAGTCTCATTTCGTTTTTCTACAATGAATACACATTCCTTGTTTGATGGAAGCCCCTCCACAGCCAGGGCATTTTATACTTCTGGACTCATTCTGAGTCTTCCCATTAACACTGTATTAAGGACTGTTCTCTAAGACAGCCACCTTTCTAAAACAGAGCTATCCAAAAGCTGGAGATTCCACAGTCTTTTTACAGGACACAGCACTAAGCCTGTTAATTCCAGTAACTTAGTCAAGGAGAATAAACAAAGAAATGAAAAGGAGAACAGCACTAAAGCATTTTTGCAAGGACACAGTTGTTGTGGCTAAATATACATGAACAGCCTTGAGAAATATTTTCCAGTGCTAAAAACCTAATTTTTAAAATTATCCATTTAAAAAGTAGTTGGGTTTCAGCCTTCAAATTTCCATTTAAATTAATTTTGCCTAATGCTTTTGTTTTCAAAGGTACCTATCCTTCAGTTGCCCTTGACCAAGCCGCTATTTCACCACACATAAAGTCAATTATCCACAAGAGGATTGCACATTCCTGAACAGAGGAACCGGCAAATATTTAGCTGGAATTCCACAGCCAGGGACTGCCTGAGGGCTGGGAAAGCCACTAATCTCTGGGGTTCTCTGCAGTGGGGTCTGGCGGAGCCATAGCAAGGATGACAAAACAAGATGACAGGAGCAGAGAGCCAGAGATCAAAAGAGCAGGGAAGACGATAGGGTTTCTTCTTTTAGAGGAAAACAAGCAACTCACCCAGGAGTCTGGAGACATATATGTGGAAAAACAGCAGCCTCTGGGAGTACAAACTGAGAAAGGTCTCATCAGAGTACATGGTGTTCCCGAGACAGCCATTCCAGGACAGGATGGGGATAGAAAGTGGCAGGAGGGAACCGCAAACTTTTATTAAGCACCTACTATCGTACAAAGTGTATCCAGGGATGCATAAAAATCTTTTCCAAGGAAAGCATATTCTAGTTAGAAAAAACGAAATGCAGGCAGGGCATGGTGGCTCATGCCTGTAATCTCAGCACTTTGGGAGGCTGGGGGCAGGTGGATCGTTTGAGTCCAGGAGTTCAAGACCAGCCTGGGTGACATGGCGAAACCCGTCTCTACAAAAAACAAAAACAAAAATTAGCTGAGTGTGGTGGAGTGCGCCTGTAGTCTCAGCTATAATACTTGGGAGGCTGAAGCGAGAGGATCATTTGAGCCTGGGAAGCGGAAGTTGCAGTGAGCTGAGATTGCGCCACCGTATTCCAACCTGGGTGACAGAGACCCTGTCTCAAAGGTGGGGGAGAAAAAGAAAAAAAGGAATGCAACTAGCACTCCTAGCAAAATGAATATAGGGTAGTAAGAAAATACGATGATGCTGCAGATGGAAAAGAATTTAACTTCTAAGTGGAATGTTTTGGCTTTATGTAAGCAAAATGGAAACACGGTGATTAATTCACAATAGTTAGCTTTAAAATATGTATGCAAAAGTCCAGTACTACCAGGAAAAAAACACCAACCAGGGACCAGAGAGGACGAGGGCCCTAAACGCAACCCAGCTAATAATTGTGTGACCTTATTAACCCTACTAATGACTGTGTGACCATGGACAAAATGAGAAGAATACCTAAGCCACACATAGGCTGGAACACTATTATAACTACTAAAAAACGACAGACACCTACGTGTACCAATCTAGGAGAAGTTGTAAAATATGTATAACAATATAATGCAAAATTATAGGAATATATAAAATAATATCTATTTGTGATAATAAATCGATAAGATATACAAATGTGCATGTAAGCACCTCGGAGAAACTGGAAGGGTGTGCATCACTGACAGGTTGTGTTTGGGTGCAGGATGGGAAGAGCAGCAGAGTGGGTCTACACTCCTCTACTGTCAGAAGAGCACACAAGATCAGACAGTTTGTGTATGATACATCACGACA